CATCCTATCTCTGTCTCTCCCCGCTCCACCCTCTGATGATGGGCCCAAATTAAGGAAAGACCCAAACTGAACATGTCTGCACCATGTCCTAAAAGTCACCTAAATGGCACTCCAACAGGAGGAAGAATCAAGGCTCCTTTCTCTCCCTGAAGTTTGATTTTGGACAGAGAGCAAAAATGCTCCTCTTGAATGCTACAAAGAGGCATATAGTAACAAGTAAATTCTGAGACAATCTGATCCAGTTCCATTCAGAGATATGCAAATAACACTGATTGGTACCTGAAATTTCATCTGCAGGTGTACTAAGAGCTAGGGCAGAGTACAAGACAGATGTTATATATTCATGTACTATACATTGTTCATGTAGTATACATCCATCCCACCTATGAGGTGATGCCCACATTCTATGTTGATGTTTCCAAATGGCCTTCAGAGGTAACACAGTGTAGAACATGTTACATGCAATATGTGATGTATAAGCAACATACAAAAAGGATAATAAATTTCATATAGCACAGATTTCCACTGACAATGAAAATTAAGCTTCTTTTTAAACATTAAGGCTGAGATTTTCATAACTGCCTACAGGATTTGGATAATTTTAATGGGATTTGGCTGTCCTGATCCCCTAGATAGATTTGAAAATCTCAGCCTAATAGCTCTACCAACCTAATGCATTTTCAAAAAAGACTAACATGACTTGGTCCACACTTATGAACTGACACATCCTGCAAAATTGCACCTTAAAATGTTTACCCATCAACTCTTCAGCAGGCACCAAAGAAAATTTTACACTATTACTATAACTTACAGGAACTTACAGAGTCTCATAACTTCTGGCAACAAATGGGGCCAGAGCTTGGGAAAAATCCCTGACATCTCCTCATTTGACACCACAACAGATGTCCTCATATATATCTTGAATCAGCCCTAGCAATATATATCAAACAGATGGCAACCAAACTCATACTAGGACAAAAGCAGTTTGCAGACCTACTTTGGGCTCAGGTTCTCTACAAAATTTCTTTCAATTCAATTTCAAGACAAAATAGAAACATTTCATGAGACTGTGCATAGGATCCTCAGTTACTTTCTTCCAAATGTGGGTCATTTATGGGGAAATTTACTGAATAGTCAATCATAGCAAATAGGTAACTACTCCCTAGAGACCCCCACATGCACATTTCCCCCTGTTAAGTATAGTATATGTATTTTCATATATAATTCCCCAATACTGGAAGATTTTTTTCCAGGTGAACAATGTTATTATGCTGGATGTTTTGTTACTGTAGATTTGATGTAGACTGTTTCGTTACTATAGATTTCAAGCCAGCAGGTCTCTATCTATTCTCCCTTCTTGCAGTGACCTCACATAACAGCACTGTATCTTAGTCCCTGGTGAGTTCTATCTACTACTGGAACATAGAAAATTTCCCCCCAAAAGGTAAAGATTTAATTTTTCATCCAAGAACAAATGTTCACAGCACAGTTATTGTTCTTAGGGAGTTACATTGAAAATGTAGGGGGACCATCAACAACAGTGGCATTAGCCAGGACTTCTGTAATAGCAATGAATTGCTACAGGTCTAAGTCTGTATCAAAGAAGTGTTGTTTTTCACAGTGGAAGAAACTAGTACAGTGCACATTTGTATGCTTTTGGCATACATGGAAAACATGATTGCCCTGAGGACAGTGTATAATTGCAATGGAAACCTGTAAAACCAGCATTACATCACACCTTATATGATACATCCTGTCACCTCTGAAAGCTTACCCTCAGGTTAAGTAAGTACTTTGCTCTGAACAAACTCAAAAGAAGAGAAAAAAAACACATCAATAATAAAAATGAGACTCTGCATTATTACAGCTGCACCAACCAGCAGTGTTCCAGATAAGGGTCTGAAATTTCCATTTAAAACACCAAATTTTCTCTCTTTCCCCTCTCCTTTTCTTATTTAATTAACTTTGTGAGTGATTTTACTACATGTAAAAGTGAAGGATCAGTAGTACCAGCGCAAGCCACACACAGATAAGCACTGTGGCTATTCCACTTCTGGACCTTGAGCAAAGAAAGCCAGTCATGCTAACTGGTGTGCCTGGATACTACCATGAGACCACCTCACTCATTTTCATTTGTGACAACCCAGATCTTCAGCTGGAGGTAGTGGACTAAACCACTGTGGCATCAACCCCCCCACCCTCTCTCATTTTCAATGTTTCATATTAAGGCAATTTATATTCCCTGGGAATTTGCTTTCTATGGTTCAGCTGAGAGAGTACAGGTGCTGGGTTCCTCCTTCTTATGCACTGAGACAGGCCAAAAGATGACCTATCAAAATCCAGAATTTTGCTATCCTCTAGGACAATTCATGTTTATCCTGCTTATGAGAGGGAGTAAAGAGGAGGAACCCAGGATGTATACAGTCTTGACTGAGCCACAGAAAATTACGATAAAAAATTTGCTAAGGACTGAGACCAAGCATACAAATATTTCACTTGGGAAGATTTTCTTAACATTTATCAAAATGTATTTGGTTGGGTTTAAGTTATTAGAGAAGATGAAACCATATTTTTTATTTTATGTTTTTTTCTAGGTATGCTGTAAAGAACAAAAAAACAAATTGCACATAACTGTGCATACAAACATTTATTTATTACTAACATCTGAGCTTCTGGTCAATTTATGAATTTATAGTATCCACAATGGTCTTTCAGGTCAGAAATAAACTATTCCAAAATGTCCCTTGAGTAAACGTCAAGATGTTAATAAAACCTTATGTTTTGCGGTTACTTCTTAATATGCATTACAAATTGACCAAGACATCAGAGTATGTCTTTGACAACATATCCGAGAAAAAAATCACCCAAAGATGCTAATGGGGATGACAGTTCCCATTAAAGTTGAAGGCTAGTATTAAGATTGCTGTGGAGATAGCTTGTTGGCACACAGCATCACCCACTTACCAGTCTCCTTCCACTAGCCAAGCATAACATGTTTCTGCTTAAATCCTTTAACATGACAGATTCAAGTAATATCAAAGAGACTTTCCAAAAGCCAAAAATGACAGATATACCAGTGTGAGGCCATGGGATTAATCCTATATGTTGCTGGGAACTCTGGTCCTATCCAGAGAAGCCTAAAGCATATGCTTAACTTTTAAGCATATGAGGTGGGACTACTTTCATGATTAAAGCTAAGAATGTGCTTAGGAGCCCCTCTGGATTGGGCCAGAGTGTTCAGCATCTTGCAGGATAGAGCCCTACATGTACACAATTGAAAAACTCGCAACATACAAACATACATAAGCCAATGTTTGAAAACACACTTGAATGTCTTTACATAGTACAGGGGTCGGCAACCTGTCAGAAGTGCTGTGCCGAGTCTTCATTTATTCACTCTAATTTAAGCTTTTGCGTGCCAGTAATATATTTTCACATTTTTAGAAGGTCTCTTTCTATAAGTCTATAATATATAACTAAACTATTGTTGTATGTAAAGTAAATAAGGTTTTTTAAATGTTTAAGAAGCTTCATTTAAAATTAAATTAAAATGCAGAGCCCCCCGGAGCGGTGGCCAGGACCTGGGCAGTGTGAGTGCCACTGAAAATCAGCTCGCGTGCCGCCTTTGGCATGCGTGCCATAGGTTGCCTACCCCTGACATAGTATATCATGTCATGAAGCTGTCATAGTCTATCTGGTAACTGTATTTTTTAGAATTGTTTACATTTCACACGAGAATCTGTGGTTCAATGGTCCTAAAGGCTATGTCCTGCATGGATATACACAGGTTGCTGGGTATTCTTTTGTGAGTATGCTTGAGCATCTTGAGTGATCAGTTTATAAAATGTCTGATTCCTGCTGTATAAGGATATCTGTGATAACTCATAAGCAAGAGTCATGTATCTGATCCTAAAAAGAATCAAGGAACATCAACTGCCACTGAAGCCAGTTAGACTTGAAGGCTTTTGGCACCTCACAGGATCAATCAATCCTTAAGTGAACAAATATAATCTATAAAAATCAAATATGTCCAAAAATTCCCCCCCCCCCCCCAAAATCTTGCACAGTATTCTCAATATATTATTCATTAGGTCATTGCATTCTCAAAGAAAAGTCTCAACAACAAAATACAGGAACAGCTATACCAGACACCTTTCAGATGCCCTTGCATTTATACGTTTTTCTTTACCATCAGCTTTCCCCCAATTGTTATTAATTTTCAAATTGTCCATTTTGTGCACACACAAACACAATCCTCCCATTTTGACAAATTAAAAACAAACAAAAAATATATATAATTTGAAAAAATTAAAATTCTTATGCCTGTCTTTAGAGCAAAATGTGAAAGCTGCCATAGTTTGAATCTCTTTTTGGTATGAGTGTTCAATAAAGAAAACAATCTCTGTAACAGAAGTAGCAACTAGAATCATGTGATATTGAGTTGCCATGGAAACAACTCCTTTATCCAATCAATATATTATAGTTTTCCTATAAACACAAAACAGTCATTATTTGATTTAGGCTTCCCCCAAACAAATTAAAACAATTCTGTCTCAATCTCTGATAACTATTTTATCCGCTATTCTTGTCCAAGTCAAATATTTTATCTGGTTAGCATGCCCCTTAGTTCTATTGTCTGAGAGGACTTGGGAATTCAAAGCACACAGGGTACTCTTGCTGCTTATGTGCCATGCACTTTCTTCATCTTAAATCATTTAAGTAAAATGGTTCACACCAAGGGCCCCATCTTGCAAACTTCCTCACTTAAATGAATACAGTTGCAAGATCAATCCCTTAGATACAAAAAGCAGTGGGTAAGCACTGCTGGCATCCAAAAGGTGAAACTCTTACATTAGACGTGTATTTTGGGTAAAATGCATAAAAACTAAAGATTTTGTTGTTGATGATGATGAAGAACATAAAAACAGGGTATAACAGCAATGAGCAAATAACAGTTTTCTCTCTCAAGCAATGGAATGTAGCCATTGCTAATTCCATACCTGCCAAAACCTGCTATGTGCATCTCCTTTGATGAGTTCAATAGTGTCTCCAGTCTGGATGTGTAATGGTGGGCCATCATGTGGAGCTGGCTGTGGTACCCCATTGTAGTTTCTAACGACTTGCATTTTTGGTAAACCTGTCAAAAATTGAATACAGGTTTTTGGTCAATGACATGGCAATCTAAGAAATTCCAATGTGCATAAAATAATAAATATAATAGATAATAATAATAATAACAACAACGATAATAATATAGATAATGTATCAATGTTAGGAGCTTAACTAGCAGTGGTTGGGGGAGGAAGTAAAAGCACATTTCACCAGGTACTGTATTTGATATTTGAACAAGTAATGAAATGAGAAATTTCTCTCAGCTCGTCACTATATTTTTTTAGTTCAAGAAAAATATTTCTCTTTAGGCTACTGCTTACTTCAAAAAAGCACAACACATACAGTTTAATGGAAAAGAATCATTTTCCCCATCAACTCCATCCCTACCGCCTCCTTCTTTCCTCTTGGGGCACTAGCTGATTTCATCACTAAGAAGGCTCATCCTTTTCTGTGTATATATAACATTGGCCTTGTATAAGGTTCATATCTTAAGGTTATCTTTGTAATCCAAAACAAAAATGTGATGGATGTGATGAAGTAATAATACTTAAGACATTGAAATGGAGAAACTCTCCAGGCTCGAATCAATGTTCCAAAAATGGTGCCACTAAATGGAACATGTCTATGAGAATCAGAGTGACAAACATTCCATGCTTCTGATGCAATCTGTTTTTGTTTTTTTTTAAACTCATTTTTTTTAAGTGTTATTGGATATATAGTTAATATTTCATTTTAAAAAGCAGAACTCATGATAGTATTTTGGCCCTATTGCACCAATATTGGCTGCATCTGAATTGTGGTCTTTTTCAAAGGTGAAAATGCCATCTCCTGAGACACAAGCCACTTAAATTTGTCTAGTTTCAACTTTCAGGCATTGGATCGTGTTACACCTTTCTCTGTTAGATTGAAGAGCTCATTATTAAATATTTCTTTCCAATGTAATACTTATAGACTGTAACTAATTCAGCCCTTAACCTTCTAATTGTTAAACTACACAGATTGAGCTTCTTGGATCTATCATTATAAGGGAGATTTTCCAATCCTTTAATCATTCTCGTCGCTCTTCTCTGAGCTGTCTCCAATTTTTCAACATCCTTCTTGAAGTGTGGACACCAGAACTGGACACAGTATTCCAGCAGTGATTGCAGCAGTGCCAAAACAGGGATAATATAAACACACTTCTCCTACTGGAGAGTTCTCTGTTTATGCATCAAACGATCAAATTAGCTCTTTTAGTAACATTGCCGCCCGGAGAGCTCATGTTTAGCTGATTATCCACCATCACCCCCAAATTGTTTTCAGAGTCACTGCTTCCCAGGGTAGAGTCTCTCACTGTGTCAATATGGCCTACATTCTTTGTTCCTAGATGTATAATTTAAATTTAGGTGTATTAAAACATATATCGGGGTAGTCAATTATTTTTTGTCAAGGTCCAAATTTCTTGCTCAAGGTATAGTAAAGGTCCAGACTCTAGAGAAAATAATTTAAAAAACCCCAATAATGATAATAAGTTAATAAAAAGATTTCAGGGTCTGTTTAAAAGCATCTGGTAGTCGAGATTTGGCCCGTGGTCCGCCTATGGACTACCCCTCACATATATTATTTGTTTGCACACAGTTTACCAAGCAGTCCTCATTGCTCTGTATTAATTACCTGTCCTCCTCATTATTTACCTTTCCCCAAAGTTCACAATGATGATTTTGTTTTCTTCCATGTCATTGATAAAATTGTTGAATGGCGTAGGGCCAAGAACAGATCCCTGCAGGACCCCCACCAGAAAAACACCCAGTTTTTGGTGCCAAAACTGAAGTTTCCTAAAAGAACTGGCTAACGCGCTGGACCATGGATTAATGATCCCAGTGACACAGGCACTGAGCACTCTCATTGGCTACTTGAAAACTTCAGTGGCAGCTGTGGGAATTCAGTCATGTCACCTGACTACCTCGAGCCTACTTGCCATATTTGCTTATATAAATAATGAATATTTTTTGTTGTTACTTACAAACACCTCATGTTAATTTAACTTCTGAAATTTGCTTTGCAGCTAAAGTAGAATAATTTAAAAGAAATTTTTCAGTTCTATGAATATTGGCATTTTAAAACAAAATATAAATTGAAAATGAAACATTTTCCTTAAGGTAGGCTGAAATTGAAGGTTCAATATAAACTAATGTGCTTTTTACCTGTTGTAATTTTTGAACACATAATGTATTTAACACAAGACAGATACAGGGAGACATATATTTACAATTCGGCAAACTGAAAATATTCTCAATATATTATTCATTAGGTCATTGCAGTCTCAAAGAAAAGTCTCAATAACAAAACAGGAACAGCTATACCAGACACTTTTCAGATGCCCTATAGAACCCTATCACTAATTTTAAAAGTGTAGATTAGCAGGTATAAACAATTCAGTTGAGTTTCACGGTAGTACAGGGGCAAATTTCTATAAACTCAAACTAAATGTTGGTAACGCCCATTATTTTCAACAACATATTCTCAGGTACATCTCACTGAGAGGACTATGAAAGCACAAAACATCTTCAGTAGAAACAGAGAATTAACAACTAAAATTGATGATGTAAAATATAGTTCTAGAGACATTACCACTGTGAGGTATTACAGCTGCAGTACCAAAGAGATCTGGCATATTCACAGAAAGCAGTTTGGGAGGTATATATCTGGTGCAAAAATAGGTGCTTGTGAATGAATTTAAATGCACATAGAACTACTGTAACAAAAGAAAAGCGATAGGCTGAAATCATGGCCCCAGTGAAATCAACTGGAGTTTTGCCATTCTAGGGCCAGGATTTTACCTAAGTGCTTACACGTCTATACCAGTAAACTTCCCAATACGAACAAACAAAATCAGTGTGCCGTCTGAACTTTAAAAAGAAACAGTTACAATATCGGCCTTCATAAGCCATCAAATGGCTGAAATCATGTCCCCTCTGGCTGCCAGACTAAACTCGACCCTCCAGGTGAACGCCCCTTAGCAGCCAAGACCGGATGACACAAAAGGCTGAGCTGAATCACAATTCATGAAAAAACAAGGGATGAACACAGGTCTGTTGTCGTCATGTTTTATAAAGTACCAATCTGGCTACAGTGCAGATTTTACCTTTATTTAAACTTGTATGACACATTTGAATATGTTCTCTGGTAATTACAGGACAAGGAAGAAGGCTCACCTATTCCATACAGTTTTAGTTCTAAAATGAGTATTAAGAGAGAATACCCATTACATTAGGAATAAGCTACACCTGTGCATTAAAGCATCTCTATATCTATGAACAGCCCTGAAGGTCCATCAGAGTCAGATACAAAGATTCCCCAGGAGGAATAAGATATGTAAATACTATCCCTTCCTACAACAGGAGTCATTCATGCCAGTGATAACCCTGCCAGAGCAGACCTCAGCATCTTTTATTCCTGAATAATCAGAAGTTTGGTTTAGGCTTTAGTCAGAGATCATTTTATCATAGAGAATGATGGAACAAAAATATAGGAGAATGGGGCATATCGGTGAATTTATGGTCATACTATGTCGTACTTTCAGGGCTCATTGAGTGAGTTCTATTTGCACTGAAAGTTCAGTGCAAGTTAATTTGAATCTTGAGAATCAGAAAGAGGATTGGGTTGACAATGATTGTCTCATGATCCCTTCTTTATGGTTGGAGTCTGTTTCATGAATTTTCTGGAATCATCCAAATATTTGGGGTCTGATCCAAAGGCCATTAAAGTAATAGAATGAATTCTACAGACTTCAATGCACTTTGGATCAAGTGCTTAATATTATACCGTCAAGTGTATCTGAAGGAATGAAGTAAAACCACATTCTTTAAAAAAAATAAATAACTCAGCCAGAGCCCTAGCTCAGCAGCACCTGCCTTCCCTGGAGCTGAAGACAGGCTGCTTTGCCTCCCACAAGACTTTGTTTCAATCCTAGTCCCCTAGGTGGGTAACTCTCTCAAGCCACATCCACCTACAAACCAACTAATCGGGGAGAGAAGCCCATTCCAATATTTTGTAAGTATGTAACTATTGAGGTTAAGTGTCAGAAATGTGACTCAGAATATTACTAATCATGTAGAAGACCCAACATAATGATATACTGGGAACCAAGTACTAGAACTTAGCTAAATCTGTGAGTTTAAGCTTTTGATTTTCAAATGATCATCACCACTTGAATTATAGTAGCTCCCAAAGACCCAGTTGTGGTGGGGACTGTACAAGCACATATAAAGTCATGGCCCTTGCCCTATAGAGCTCTCAATCTAATTTAAGATTTAAAAAAAGCACCAAGTGAGCATAACAACAATGGAGGGAAAGCAGATGGGATGATGAGAGTAACGAGAGAAGCATGTGAATACAGTGAACAGCTATGTTCACAACTTGATGGCTCTGAGACATAAAACATAAAAGTCAATAATCTCTCTGAGGCCAACTACCCAGCCACTATCATTAAAGTGCAGTAATCCAATTTGAAAAGGACATTTAATGCCCAATTCTATTCTGAAAGGTGACTATGCAAAAACAAGGCCTTATTGTACTCCACAGATCTGATGATGACTCTTCAGAGTCATGGCTGCTGACTTCAGTGACAAAAATATGTTCTTACTACACGTTACTTCTGTTTACACTGCACTGATTAACGATACTGAGCCAATATACATGGAACATCCCAACACAATCTTTTTAAGGGTACTTTTCAGAATAGAATGGGGATTTAAGGAATATAATTAATGTTGGATAAAACTACTGAATATGTGGGTGTTCCTGCATCAGAAAGAGGATGCATTAAGTGGATGTTTGGTTCTCTCAATTCTAAATGTCATTGTTTCTACGTATCTTGAAAAATGTGTAAGATACTTTTCATAAGCTCACACTATGTCCAGGCAAGATGCCTTTTCAACTGAAATACTGACAATTCCTAAAGAATCAGTTTTGAATCTGCCTTTTTTTGTTCTGCTTCTGATTAGTTATCCTTCCACTTGTATCATTTACCACATGTTCTCCTTC